CACACACTCACTCTCTCTCTCTATCTGTACTGTTACTGACGGTACTGACTATCCACTGAACACACATACATTGAGTCTTTGGTTATCAGTGAATGAAGCTAGTGTGGTAACCCTGTTGGATGTTATCATGCCTCCACTCCTTTACAACATATGTGCTGAGAGTTGCTCTGTAACTTATGCTCAATGAACACTCATCATCCAGCCTCTTTTGTTCCCACAGGCCCCCGTCTCTTCCTGTCCTGTCCCATGGATGTAGAAGGCTCCCGGGTTTGGTTCACCGACCTGTGGAACTACTCCCTGGTGCCCTACCTGCTGGAGGCTGTCAGGGAAGGCCTTCAGGTATGCCCCGCCAAAATAAATCCAAGACTTTTTTATGTTGTTACTTAGATTCCTCACAGAGATAGTAACAGTAGATATATTTCTGTGTGGATCACTGATCACAATCTGGAAACTTAAAATCAAACCTTACATCTTCAAGCATATAAAACAAAGTTATCCAAATTCCATCATCTGCAGCGTGCCGTTCTAAACCTCCAGGACAAAAGTTATTTCCCCACATAAAGTGATGGAAAGCAAATAAGTTAATTTACCCAGTATTGTACTGAAGTACAGTTTTGGTGTACTTGTACCTAACATAAGTACTTCCATTTTATACTGTGTTATACTTCTACTCCACTATGTCAGAGGGAAATATTACTTTTTACTCTAATATATTTATTTGACAGCTGTAGTTTTTCAGATTAGGATTTTGAAATACAAAAAAAAACCCTGATCAAATTAGCTCCATCGGGACAATATCAAAGTATTACTGCTTACATAATAATGATCCAATCATATAATACAATGCTGGCAGGGGTTCTACATAATGAGTACTTTAACTTTTGATACTTCAAGTACATTAAGTTGGCCATTTTCAAGTTTGAATGAGATGAGACAAGGAATGAAACTGAGGAGATAATGATAATCGGAACACTCTCTGATTTTTATTCACACTACTCTTTGGGACATTAATGAAAAAGGTGAGCTTGGACTCCTCTATTAGCCTCTGTATGTATAACCTGCCACTTATGTTGGTGTTTCGTTTCTCCACATCATTCTCTCCTCCTCTCCCTCTCTGACACACCCGCAGCTATACGGCAAAAGAGCAGCTTGGGAGGATCCATCCAAGTGGGTAAACGACACGTATCCGTGGAACGCCGCTTCTCTGCTACAGGACGGCCAGTCGCTGCTCCAACTGAGGCCGGAGGACGTGGGATACGACGGCTATAGCTCATCCAAGGAGGGAGCCTCGTCCAAGCAGGTGTCTCAGAGTGACACTGAGGGAGACCCACTGGTGAGGAAGAATTAGTTTCTAGTTTATGTAATAAAATAATCTAAAAAAATAGCCCCAATGTTTATAGAAATTACACAAATACTCATAAACGGAACAGAAGATAATGTGCTAAGGAGATAAATACCTCTCCCCCACGACCAAAACCAAATGATTTAATTCAGTAAATCCAATATATATCCATACACATGGTGCAGATACATAAAGTTATTCAATTCAAGGATGCTCGTTTCCATAGAAACCTGTGATGAGTGTTACCTTGGCTTTTTCCAAGTAAAAAATACAATAAATACATAAGACCTTAAAACCTTACCACAAACACATACACACACACA